GGGGGGGTTCACGGTGGGGGGAGTCAAATCAGCAAAAAATGTATTTTTTGGCATGCCACAGAATTTTAGTAATTAGTTTATGTGTGCCATAAACTAATGGAGATGGAGATGGTTGAAAATCGCTGATATTTCCATGACTGAATATTTCATTTCATAAGAAGATATATTATAACTGAGCCATTTTCCTGCCATCTGTTTGCCATTTAAATCAAAGTAACTTTAAAACTGACTGAGAACACAGTTCCGATGACATCTTCATGCATGGAGCCATTCCACTCCTTTGGAATGATTTTCTTAGGCTAAGTCCCCAGAGCGGACATTATTATGACAAAGGGCAGGGACACTAACAACTCCTCAATTTTTCAAAGAGCTGCACCAATCTGCATTGTTATCAGAATAAAGGCACAACCGCTTCACCGCAGACATGGTGAGTAGAAGATCCATTGTTTATGCTCGTTTCATAGATTAAAGAGACCTGATTTTAATTTGTACTCCAACAGTGAGGTTGCACATTTTGTCTCAGTCTATTTCCTCTGACTTGCTTTCCATGCCTTTGCACTTTCCTGGTGAGGAAGTTCACTTTGTGATGTGTGCGCACTACTAATATACCCTTGTCAATTGCTAATTACTGTAAAACGCTCTTTCTAACCTGTTTTCACTCTTATTTGTACCCATATAGCAATTCTAATTTTTCATAGTTCTAATTTTTATTTTCATTTCCATTTCTCTGAAGCTTAACCGAGTTAAATTCACAGTAACGCTTTGCCATTACATTAGCATCGCCGGGGAGCCGTCGGCATTGTCAAGGTGCCAAAAGCAGAAGAGCCACTAGTTACTTATTTTGAAGTGGGGTTCTTCCAAGTCCTACGATGACTTTCATGTAGACACCTGACCCGAGTCTCGAGAGCATGCAGCGTGTGGAAAATGTTCCAAGCACTCACCGATATCCTGTCTTGGAACTCTGATGTGGGCACAACAGGAATAGTTCCACCATGTTTCCCAAATTTCCTTTCCAAACTCTCCTGAACCGACACTATGAAAAGCCAAGAGAAGAGAAGACCAGGCCATCAGAAAAAGTCAAGCAGTAGCAACAGGTGTCCCCAACTATATTCACAATCCCAAAACCAAGAGTTTTAGAAACCTTCAACATTAATGACATGAAAGGGTTAATCATTTAAAAGGATAAAGCGCTTGGCCAAATTCCTATGTAAAGTGAATTTAGGTCACTGCTCTGTTTCCATAACACCCATTACCAGGGTTTTTCCTTGGCTCTTTAAAAAAAGAAAATGCTGAGGGAAAGAAACGGAAATAGATGGGTCACTTCACCCCGATTCTGAGCAGGTTGAGTAAAGGCACTCAGTTGGAGGTCTTGGTCTTCTTTCAGCCTCATGAAAATCCTACTGTTAGCCCTGGAGCCTACTCTTGTCCAAGACAAACAGTCTTCTCCATCAGAAGACTAAAACATTCTCACCACTACACAGGCCTTTACTCAGAGCAACCAGAGGCAGAAACGGGATGCACACCAACAGGAGCCCCCAGTTTAAAGTGCTGCTCTTTCTTATTACTAACTTGTAGATTATGTTCTTGGAATATTACATTATAAAACAAACATCTGAATATAAATATATTTAAGGAAGCTAATATATTGATAAAGAAATTGTATATTTTTGGTCTAAGACTCATAAGCAAAATAATATAGTTTTCTATACTGAAATTAATTTATGTTCTTTAGAATTATAAAAAGGAAACTGGTCTTAAGTTTAAGCTTTGTCCAGCCTTCTAGCTGGCCTAAAAGATTATTTTTGGAGAACAAAATCATCAGAACTTACTGAGCAAGTGGTAGTTAGAATCCCTTTCATATTTGAAGGTCAAACGGCCATAGCTGACATGATTTAGGTTCTTCAGCCACTCAAAGTAAGATACTGTAACTCCCCCGGCATTCAGGTAGAGATCCTACATACAAAAATTCATCAGGAAGATGCCAAAGATATAAGATGATGGTTTTAGATAAAAGCTTAAAATAAACTAAGAGCTCAATTTTAGTATCAAAGCAGATTAAGTGTCAACCTTTCCAAATACATCTTAGATATCTTAGAACTTCACACTTAAATTTAACAACCCCCCTTTCCAATCCATTTGAGTTGATTTTTTTATTTTACTAATCAAGCATTTAATCAGCTATGGTTAGAGCCTCTTCTCCACCGAAACAGTTTCCTGACAAAACTGCTGCCCACTCCCGTGGGCTGGACTGTCTGGGGAATCTCCCCAGAAGAGCAGCATTCCCTCTACCACCGAAGGCAGTCTAGTTCTGTTACATTGAATTTTTAAGTGCTTTCAGCAACGGGGTTCTTTAAAATGCTCCCTAAATCCACACTAACTTCCAATTGTCAATAACCTGTTGGTGTTGACCCCATGCTTATCCACTGAAAACATGATCCTCACATTAGCTTTCTGAGCAAAGCTGCAGGGACATTTGAAATGCATATGGTAAGGGTGGTAAAAGCAATCTTTAATTTTAAGTTAGAATAGTATTTCTAGCACAATACACATTTATATAACTAGGTTCTAAAGAAGGCTAAATACATACTCAAGAAAGAACTTGAAGCTAGAAGAAAATACTCAGGTGAAAACTGACAGGCATACTATACTAACAATCATGCTTCTATTTTATTTTCTTAAACACAAACTAAAGATGAATTCACTAACAGCTTGGGAAACTAATGATCCTCCCTCCCACAATTCCTTACAAAAACAATTACGATTCCAAGCATATCTAAAAACTGGCAAACAGATGACTTACTGGAATAACCATGATGTTCCGCTCCAGGAAAATCTTATCCGCTTCTGGAGTTGTTGGCCCATTGGCACCTTCAGCGATGATCTGTAAGTCAGGGACATATTGCCGCCGTCACCACCAAATCCCCTCACTGAGTGCCAAGAGATGTGCACGTATGGGTAGGAGGTTGTAGGAACGAGTAATTCCAGTTTAATCAAATTAATAAAAGTCATCCTGGCTGGTGTGGCTCAGCTGATTGGAGCCGAACATCAAAAGGTTGTGGGTTCCCGGTTGGGGCGTGTGCAGGAGGCAAGTAATCAATGCTTTTCTCTCACGTTGATGTTTCTCTCCCTTCCTCTCTCTAAAATCAATAAAGTCACTTTGCTCTAAAGTATATAAAACTGTTTTTTCACCTTTTGATTTCTATAACTATTTTTTGGAAATTTGGTTTAAAAGGAAATCCACAGTGATGGTTGCACAACTCTGAACATACTAAAAGCCATTAAATTCTACACTTGGGTGAACTGTCTGGTATGTGTAGTATATACCCCAATAAAGCTGCAAACAAACAAACAAACAAGAGGATACCCAAGACACGCACTTCCTCGACCTTCAATAGCATCCCATTAGGAAGGTCGGACAGTCTCTATTCTGCTTTTACCTTGGCTTTGATTCTGGGTGCATTGGACTTGGTCAGCTGCTTCTCACTGGCAGCAGGGATCAGTATGTCACAGTCGGCCTCTAAGATGCTCCCATCATAAACCTTTGCCTTGGGGAAACCCAGGATTGATCCATGTTGCTGTAATTGATTGAATATCAGAATTAATAGCTGCACCAGAGTTTAAATGCTTATATTTAGTGCCAAATTATATGAAGACAAAGTTATCTTTAAAGTTACATTTTACAAAAGCAAGCAATGGAAATAGATTTAAATAAAGCTATTGCAAAACTTGACAATATTCAGGATAGTTCAACTGCTCAGATATTAGCTTTAACATACCAATTTGAAGTCTTCCAGTTCCTTTGGGTCAATGCCATCTGGATTCCATATACTCCCATCAGATTCACCAACACCAACGCATTTAGCACCAAAGCGATGCAAATATCTCATAGAGTGCAGGCCTACATTACCAAATCCCTGTAAAGAACAATTACGTATGACACAAAAAAAACAACTTCCTACTACAGACAGACGGTAAGTCACACTCTGTCCAATGCAACTTGACATTCTGCTAAAAGAAATTCTCCAAATCCTTTTGTCAAAAGAAACAATGGACTAAATGGCTTCCCTTCAACAATAAATTTCTATGTTTAGCAATGAGGAACCCAACCCTTTGTTGTCTGTGATAATGAGACCTGAAGGAGTTTAGTCAGTGCAGCCTTGGTGAGTTATAAAGAAATGATAGTGGTGCCAACCATACCACCCAGGTCCCTCATGACCAGATGTCCTTTGGTACTAAAAAGTTAAGTCATTAATTGGGAGGAATATGACTTCTATTTTAAAGTAACATTCAACTTAATTCCTTTAAGTAAAATAATCAAATACCAAACAAATTCTGTGTACCCCTAATAGTTTAAGTGATTTCCCATTTTTGATATAGTTTCATTTTTTAAATACTGATCAAAAGAAGTTGGTGATGCCCTGCCGGTGTGGCTCAGTGGTTGAGTGTCAACTTATGAACCAGGAGGTCACAATTTGATTCCTGGTCAGGGCACATATCCGTATTTCAGGCGCGATCCCCAGTGTGGGGCATGTAGGAAGCAGCCAACCAATAAAAACATATTAAAAAACAATATGAAGTTGGTGATAGCTTCATATGTATCCTAGAGATACTTAAATTGCTTCTAGTCGCATAATCATACCAAAGCTCACACAATAAAGGGTGTAGTATTCTGAAAACAACCATTCTAAAACTTAAGAGATTAAAAATAATCAAATTTTAAAAACTGCAAATCTAAAAACAACTTATAAATTATTCTTTAAGAAACAAAAACTTTTACCTGAACAACAAATGTTTTATCTCCAAACCCTGGTGTCATTCCTAAAATGCTCATGTAAGAGGCTTCATTGATGAAGTTTTCGATTCCATGGAAAACTCCTCGGCCAGTAGCAGAGATCCGTCCGTGGATCCCACCTTGACTGATGGGCTTGCCAGTGACACAGGCATGGGCATTAATATCCTGCAAGAGAAAGCCAGCGCTTCAGAGATGAAACCTCAGGAGAATTTCCTACGATGAGCCAATGGAATCAAGAATAGAGCCAAACACATTCTCATGCAACTAAAATACGCTCTTTAGGAGTGTCATCAAGAGGTACATGACTCACTCTTTCAGATTTCTGTTCCCAGACTAATATTTTCAATGGGAGGAACAGGGCGTTAGGAATTTAACTTAACTAGATTCCTAAAGTACAAATATAATGTCACAAAAATAGGTAGCATTTTCTTTAAAAAAAGGTTTTTTATGGATTTTTTTCAAAGAGAGAGAGAGAGAGAGAGAGAGGGAGAGAGAGAGAGAGAGAGAGAGAGAAAGATAAATATCGATGCAAGAGTGAAACATTGATCAAGCCCACAACCCAGCCATGTGCCCTGACTGGGAATCGAACTGGCAATCTTTTGGTGCATGGGATGACACCCAACCGAGCTACACTGGCCAGGGCCAGATAGTATTTTTAATAGCTTAAAAGTATGATTCCTGCCCTAGTCGGTTTGGCTCAGTAGATAGAGCGTCAGCCTGCAGACTGAAGGGTCCCAGGTTCAATTCCGGTCAGGGCATGTACCTAGGTTGCAGGCTCCATCCCTGGCCTGGTCAGGGTGTGTACAGAAGGCAACCAATCAATGTGTCTCACTCTTTGAAATCAACAACAAAAATTTTTTTTTAAAGTATTATTCCTGCCTGGCCAGGGCCAGCATGGCTCAGGGGAGGTCACACTTCGATTCCTGGTCAGGGCACATGCTGGGGTTAGAGCTCAACCACCAGTGGAGGCAGCAGGAGGCAGCCAATCAATGATTAATTGTCTCTATCTTTCTCCCTTCCTCCCTGAAATTAATGAAAATATAACAAAGTATTATTCTTTCAACAAATAGTTATATCCTACTTAGGATACATTCAAGCCTTAAGTGTCTTAAAATCTATCATTAAAACTTGAGTACATCACCAAAACAGAGCTTCGAAGGAAGAAGCATTATGGTGCTCTTCAATGGGAAGACTCAATGTTGTAAAGATATTCTTCTGTCAAACTAATCTACAAATTCAATAAAATACTACTTTAAAAAAAGCACTTAAGAACAAATAAACTCAAGTTTGCCTAAAAAGAAGTGGGCTCTAGCTGGTTTGGCTCAGTCAGGGGACCTCAAACTACGGCCTGCGGGCCACATGCAAATACAAATATTGTATTTGTTCCCATTTTGTTTTTTACTTCAAAATAAGATATGTGGAGTGTGCATAGGAATTTGTTCATAGTTTTTTTTTTTAAACTATAGTCTGGCCCTCCAATGGTCTGAGGGACAGTGAACTGGCCCCCTGTTTAAAAAGTTTGAGGACCTCTGGGCTCAGTGGATAGAGTGTTGGCCTGCGGACTGAAAGGTCCCGGGTTCAATTCTGGTCAAGGGCACATGCCCGGGTTGCAGCTTGATCCCCAGTGGGGGTGTGGAGGAGGCAGCCGATGGATGATTTTTTTCTCATCATTGATGTTTCCATCTTTCCCTCTCCCTTCCTCTCTGAAATCAAACAATCAATCAATATCCTATCTAATAAAAGAGAAACATGGTAATTGGCGTACGACCGCTACCCTTCCCATTGGCTAATCAGGGAGATATGCAAATTAACTGCCAGCCAAGATGGCA